TCTTTTTTTTGAGACAGAGTCTTGCTCTGTCATCCAGGCTGGAGTGCAGTGGCACAATCTTGGCTCACTGCAACCTCCACTTCCCAGGTTCAAGCGATTTTCCTGCCTTAGCTTCCCAAGTAGCTGGGATTACAGGTGCATGCCACCATGCCCAGCTAATTTTTTTGATTTTAGTAGAGACAGGGTTTCATTGTTGGCCAGGCTGGCCTTGAACTTTGTCTGACCTCAAATGATCTGCCTGCCTCGGCCTCCCAAAGTGTTTCTATTACAGGTGTGAGCCACTGTGCCTGGCCAACTTTTCCCTATTTTGAAATTTCTCATCCATGCCTTAATAGTAATTTCAAAGGTGAGCTCTCTTTCCTAGGAAGAGAGAGAAGTATGTTTTGAATACCATGTTAATAGAGACAATTTGTAGGATATAGTCACCTTGAGATTCCAGTTGGATTTTTAAAGAATATTTCTTCTTAAAGGAAATATTCATGTATATGACAATATTTTTTAGGCCATGAATATTAAAATAGAACCCGAAGAGACAACAGAAGCCAGAACTCACAATCTGAGACGTCGAATGTGTTGTCCAACTCCAAAATTTGAAAGTGGTAAGAAAATTTATCCATGAATAGGAAAGTAAAAGTAAATAAAGTAAAATTAATTATTCATAAAGTAAACATAAGCTGAAAAAGTCAATAGAAGAAAATTTAAAAGTAAATATTAGAGCAGCTATTGCATAGTAGCCACTGGGTTGGGCTTTGAGAAATAAAATCTTAATATATCAACAATGTCCTTGTTCTCATAATTAACTGACTAGTGGAAGAGAGAAACAGATGCTGTATGTATGTATATTGGAAGTGTGGATGGCTTTCTCACCTGTAGTGAGTTGCTACTTAATCTTCGCCCAACTGCTAACTAGCTATGTGACCTTAGAGGTATTTCTTGACTTACTTTAACATTAGTTTTCTTACCTTTGAAATGGGTTTGTTGTGAAGGATTAAATACTTTATGGAAAACATTTAGCCCACAACACCTACCACGTGATAGTTCATTAATTGATAGCCAGTGTTTTAGTCAAACATCTCAGTCTTCAGAATCAGGAATTTGGAGTCCAGGAGGATGACCAGGAAGTCATCTTAGATCATGGAGAGATAATGTGTGATGAGGAGGTATAGTTGGTGAATTGTCAGTCTCTTATAGTCATGGCCAAGAGGAACTTTTTTTCATGAGTATATATTATGTCTTGGTCTTAAGAAAACTCTAGCTCCGATTTTCAAAGCATACAAACTTGAGGGATGTCTCCAGACATAAACTAAATCTTAAAATTTAAATGACACAAGAGTTTGCATTTTTTCCAAATAGTCAGCATTTGAGCCCTTGAATAAAGTATACTGGGTGCTATTGCTACTAAAATGAAAACACACATGAAATGATGTTTGTGTACAGTGTGTGCACTGGGAGGGAGATGATGAAGTGAGGGAGGAAGTGGAGAAAAGCATCATACAAAAATAGCTAATTTTGAATTGCCTCCTACAGAGAAAGAAATGAAGAGTAGTATCAAGCAAGAACCCATTGAGAGGAAAGATTATATTGTAGAAAATGAGAAGGAAAAGCCCAAGAGTCGATCTAAAAAAGCCACCAATGCTGTGAGTGACATCTCTCTTTCTCCTTTTTCTTTTTTCCTTCTCTTCTCCTTTTTCTTCTTTTCCTTCTCCTTTCTTTAATCCACTTTACCCCCCAGTTTAAACTTTTGTGCCTTAAATAAGACTGTTTAATTTAGTGTTCGACAATAAAAAGATATTTTGAAGTCAGTTTCTAGTATTAGTTAATAAATGAAGAAATACATGATCATATTATAAAGATGGTAGTAACATCTGGGGGGCATTGACTGCCATTTTTCTGGAATATTTTTACTTTAGCACTAAATAATAGTGAACTGTAATCTAGTTCATTATACATAGAATTGCTCGTAAATCACTAGCTCACTTCTATGATCAGAAATCCAAGTTAGGCCAGGCATGGTGGCTCACGCCTGTAATCCCAGCACTTTGGGAGGCTGAGGCAGGTGGATCACCTGAAGTCAGGAGTTCAAGACCAGCCTGACCAACATGGTGAAACCCTGTCTCTTAAAAAAAAATAAAAAATACAAGTTAGTGTTTTCCAACTTTCCAGCTAGCAAAGGGAAGGAAGGAAATGAAAAGAAGGAATAAAAAAGGAAGAAGGAAGAGGAAGGAAGGAATGAAAGGAAAGTAGAGAAGGAAGGAAGAAAAAAAGAACAAAGGAAAGCAGTTGTGGGGTGTAGGGAGGAGGACGTGGCAGAATTAGAGGGCTGGGAGAAACTTTTACTGAAAGTAAAGCCCGATGGCATTAGAAGGGATCTGGTGGTTCTTCTCTGCCACCTTCCAAGAGCCTGAAACAGTGCTTTTTTTCTTGAAACTAGAAATTATTCTAATTGAATGTTCTCTCCATAAATGTCACCCTCTGCCCTACCCTCTCTCCCCAATACAATCAGAAAACTGACAGAGCTATATTTTTATTTACTACAATAAATAGACTGAAACAGTTGGACTCCCTGTTTAGTTGAATTCTCAGCTTTTCTAGTATTGAGTAATGTAGTAGTTTGCTAGGGCTGCCATAAGGATGTGCCACAGACTGAGTGGCTTAAACAACAGAAATTTATTTTTTCACAGTTGTATAGGCTGGGAAATTTGAGATCAAGGTGTTGGCAGTGTTGATTTCTTCTGAGCCCTCTTTTCCTTGGCTGTAGATGGCTGTTTTTCACATGGTCTTTCCTCTGTACATATCTTTGTCCTTATAAGGACACCAGTCATATTGGATGATTACCTCTTAAAGGACTCATTTCCAAATATAGTCACATTCTGAGGTACTGAGGGTTAGGACTTCAACATGTGAGTTTTGGGGGGAATACAGGGTACCCCATAACAAATAATAATATGCATTATCACTGGGCATTAGAGGAACTTCTTAACCATGGCCCCTTAATTAGAATTAAAAGTGGTAATTTATTTTTATTATTTTAGAGATAGGATCTCACTCTGTCACCCAGGCTGGAATACAGTGATGCAATCATAGCTACTGACACCTTGAACTCCTGGGCTCCAGGGATCTTCTTGCCCCAGCCTCTTAAGTAGCTGGGACCATGGGTATGCACTACCATGCCTAGCTAATTTTTTTTTTTAAATTTCTTGTAGAGACAATGTCTCGCCATATTGCCCAGGCTGGTCTCAAGTGCTGGCTTCAGGCAATCCTGTCAGGGCCTCCAGAAGCGTTGAGATTATAAGCTTAAGCCACCGTGCCTGGCCTAAATTGGTAGTCTAATGTGGTTGACTTTAAAATTGTTTTGTTTAAAATATGAAAAAATTGTATTTTTTCCTTCATAAATTCTACTTTTGGTTAGGTTGGTAATTTATTACTTACTACCTGGTATCTTTTTTTTTTTTTCCTGAGACAGGGTCTCTGTCACCCAGGCTAGAATGCAACGGTGTAATAAGGGCTTACTGCAATCTTGACTTAGCAGGCTCAAGTGATCCTCCTGTCTCAACTCCCCAAGTAGCTGGGACTATAGGCGTGCGCTACCATGCTTGGCATCTTGTTGTTTTAGAATCTGCTAAAAACTAGATCTGGAAATAAACTTTAAACACATGACAATTGAGAAAGCTAGGAAATTACACTTTAGATTTGGGTATGCATGACGTATTGTGAAATATCCCTCATAGAAAGTGAAGCATTTTTATTTAAAATATTCCTTATAGAGGTTGAAGCATTTGAAGCAGGATGAAGAGACTAGATTATGCCTCAGATTCATTTCATTCCTAGAATTTTAGAAAATCAAATAACAGCTCATAATTCCTTTTCTGTACCCATTTTTACTGTTACAGGTGGACCTGTATGTCTGCCTCTTATGTGGCAGTGGCAATGATGAAGATCGGCTACTGTTATGTGATGGCTGTGATGACAGTTACCATACCTTTTGCTTGATCCCACCTCTCCATGATGTTCCCAAGGGAGACTGGAGGTGTCCTAAGTGTTTGGCTCAGGTAAGAATTAATGGTAGAAGTAACATTAGAGAATTTTCTTTAGGGCATTTTTCTTTGCCTTTGAGTGTCAGGACTCACTTTGTTGCCCAGGCTGGAGTGCGGTGGTGCAAACATGGCTTACTGCAGCCTCAACCTCCCTGGCTCAAGCAATTCTCCCACCTCAGCTCCCCAAGTAGCTGAGACTACAGGCCTATGCCATGACGCCTGGCTAATTTTTGTATTTTTTTGTACAGAGGGGGTTTCACCATGTTGCCCAGGCTGGTTTCGAACTCCTGAGTTCAAACAATCCTCCTGCCTCAGCCTTCCAGAGTGCTGGGATTATAGGCCTGAGCCACCTCACTTGGCCTGCCTTTGAGTTTTAGATTTGGCAATCGACAGTAATGAAGCCCATGAAGAAAACTGGGCTGGCCCTGAATAGGAAAGAGGTCTTAGAAGTGAGTTCCACAATATATGTAGGTAGTTAAGAGACAGAAAATAATTTTTATTAACTATCTTATTATTTTTAAAAAATTTCTTATAAAAAGCTTACATGCTCTTTGCAAGAATTATTAAAACACTGAACAATTTAAAAAGTAAGGCTGTGATTTCACAATGCATACATAACCACTGTTAATGTCTTGGTGTATATTCATTCGGACTTTTTTTCTATTTTAAGCAAATGGAGTTACATTATATAAGTAATTTTAGTAATCTGCTGTTTTCATTTATAGAGACATTTTTATGTATCACTGTGATTACTGATGTTTTTGATAGTGCATGCTGTCATTGGCAAAATCTGAAAAGGGTCTACCATTACCTTCATGAGGATTTATTTATTTATTTATTTATTTAGAGACAGGATCTCACTCTGTCACCCAGGCTGGAGTGCAGTGGTGTCATCTCAGCTCACTGCAACCTCCGTCTCCTGGGGTCAAGTGATCCTCCCATCTCAGCCTCCTGGGCAGCTGGGACTACAGGCTTCTACCACCATTCCTGGCTAATTTTTGTATTTTTAGTAGAAAAAGGGTTTTGCCATGTTGTCCAGGCTGGTCTCAAACTCCTGAGGTCACATGATCCACCTGCCTCAGCCTCCCAAAGTGCCGGGATTGCAGGTGTAAGCCACCATGCCCGGCCCTGAGGATTATTTTGTATTAATATTATGAAGCAATCAGTCTATTACCCTTGTTAGGGTTGGATTATAATAGTAAGAAGGTTTACGGATATAAAGTTTTGAGTGCTTTTCCATGTAGCTATGTTACAACATAAGGGTATCTTCATCAATGGGAGGTTATTAGGCATCAGACAGGGCAGGGGGCCATGGGTGTTAGATGAATTATTTATTTAGTACCTTGTAATAGGGATGACCTTATCAATGGGTCTGGAATATTTAAGTCTGTTGGCTCACAAAGATCTAGGGAAGCTTATATTGCCCCTGTTACCTCCCAGTATTAGGTTATAATAAAATATTGCTGGCCTCAAAGCCATTCTGTTTCCATCAAGTAGTTTATCTCTATTTTGATCTATTGTATATTGATTTTATAGTTTTAACTCCCAGGAGGACATTATTTCTCTCATTTACAGTATTGAAAACATTATTTCATTCTGAAGGAAGTTGAGTCTTTAGGCTGCCTCTTTATAAATACATAAATATATCCAAGTTGTGGTTGTTAAAATTGACATTTTATTTGCTTATTAGCAAATAAATAAAATGTGTTTCATTGGCTTATTAAAACAACCACATTTTTCAGGCAGGTTTATTTTTATAAACTAGACCTAGCATAGAAGTAAAATAGACAAAGCCTTGTTTTTTTATCTGCCAGCTTGATGATTGATCAAGTATACTTGATATTTTCAAGTGTCATCTAGAACATAATTTTATTTTTTATTTTCAGGAATGTAGTAAGCCACAAGAAGCATTTGGCTTTGAACAAGCAGCCAGGGACTATACTCTCCGTACTTTTGGGGAAATGGCAGATGCATTCAAATCTGATTACTTCAACATGCCAGTCCATGTATGTACATATATACTGCTTTGATTTAGGATTCTAATAACTTTTGGAGAAAGTGTATCTGAAAACAGATTTTTAGTTGAGGCTCACTCTGGTAGGCATTATCATACAGAATGAAATCTTTAATTTGTTTTGTGGTATTTAAAATTTCACACTTTAAAAAGAATTCTAATTTTTTATTTGAAGATTTCTCTAACGTTACCTCTTCCACACAGATCATACAGCAGCAGTAATAGAATACTAACAAAAAAAGTCACCAGCAATGGTTTTGGCCCAACAAATATGTATCGAATGACTGCTATGTGCCAAGGGGTGTACTATGCATTGGGAACACATTTGTAGTATATTACATAATCAATCATTAGTATTATAAATTTCAGGATGAGTCAATTTTTAATTCCCCTTTATTCACTTTGAAGCATAAGCATGTTCCATTCAGCATTTAATACTCCATCAAATGAGTACACCAAAATGAAATGCTTTAATTCTGGATATTTAAGCTGTGATTTTTCTCACTACTAATAAAGCACTACAGCAAACCCTTTGTGCATGTAGAACTCTTTAGTTGGATGATTTTCTTGGGATAATTATTGAGGCCAGATGACAGTCATTTTTCCTTATTCCATCCCAGTCGCTGTATCAATTTATGGATCCCAGCATTATATGAGTGAACTTACTTTTCCCTAACACCTCTAACATCAGCTATTAGCTACTTAGAATATTTGCTTATTTGTGGACTTAAATTTATACTTCATTTGAATTTTCAATTCTCTTGACTTCCTTATGTGTTATAATATTTGCCCATACGTTTGCTTAACTGATTCTGGTGACTTGCATATAACCTCTTCTATTTGCTGTTAATTTTATATTTTGATAGAATATTAGATGAGGACATTGAGGGATAGACATTTAAATGTTACCTGCCTCTGGATTTACACCAGATTAACAACAGATTGACATTTAGTCTGGTGACTCTTTATTCTAAGGGCGTGCTGCTACAAATTGCTCATATCCTATATACTGGTGGTCCCCAATGTGTCCCCCCCAACCCTCCTCCCTCAGCCAAGGACAGATACCAATCTGTGGCCTGTTAGGAACGGGGCTGCATAGCAGGAGGTGATTGGTGGGCAAACATTACCACCTGAGCTCTGCCTCCTGTCAGATCAGCAGCAGCATTAGATTCTGATAGGAGTGCAAACTCTATTATTGTGAACTGCCCATGCAAGGGATCTAGGTTGCATTTCTTATGAGAATCTAATCCCCCTCCCCACCAGCCCTCGTGCCCTACCCTTCCCCATCCATGGAAAATTGCCTTCCATGAAACCCATCCCTGGTGCCAAAAACACAGGGACATTGGGGATCACTCTCTCTCTCTCTCTTTTTTTTTTTTTTTTTGAGACAAAGTTTTGCACTGTCTCAGTTTTGGAGTGCAATGCCACGATCTCGGCTCGCTGCAACCTCCGCCTCCAGAGTTCAAGCAATTCTCTTGCCTCAGCCTCCTGAGTACCTGGGATTACCGGCACCCGCTACCACGCCTGGCTAATTTTTTGTATTTTTAGTAGAGATGAGGTTTCTCCATGTTGGTCAGGCTGGTCTGGAACTCCCGACCTCAGGTGATCTGCCCACCTTGGCCTCCCAAAGTGCTGGGGTTACAGGCTTGAGCCTGGCCTATACTCTCTTTTTTGTGTCGGTTGTCTATGTTACTCTCAGACAGGTCCAGTGAAAAGAATGAAAGGATGGACTTAGGTAATATATTTGAATGCACCTCAAAGTATACAGCATCATTGAAACAACAAACCATTATTATTACTATGCAGTTGTCAACTGTACAGTACAATATGTCATTCAAAGACAACTAACCATTGTTACTATACAGTTTATGTTACATATTTTGAAACACAGAAATATCTCCAGGTCATAAATAATTGCTTTCCTTGGCTCCCTTTTTACAGTTGTGTCCTGGCTGGTGATAGAGGAGCATGAATTCCTTTTAGACAGTAGAGGTTTCCTGAATTGCCTAGGATCAATTATAGAACATTATAGATACAATTTTTCCTTAGGTTGCTCTTCTTTGATTCCTATCACTGAGCTTATCTAGTCAGGTTGGTCACAGACAGTTTGTGAGGAAACTAATTTTTTCTATTTCCAGATGGTTCCCACAGAGCTTGTTGAGAAAGAATTTTGGAGACTAGTAAGCACTATTGAGGAGGATGTCACAGTGGAATATGGAGCTGACATTGCCTCAAAGGAATTTGGCAGTGGCTTTCCTGTCCGAGATGGGAAGATCAAACTCTCACCCGAGGAAGAGGTAGGCATATGAGTGGCTTGGAAATTGAGGTATTTATTGAAATTCTGTTTGGTTGGTTTGAAGAAACTTATTATTACTTTTAGCAGATCCTTAATGACCAGATTTTTAGTGATTTCAAGAAAAGTAGAAAGCCTACAGAACGGTGTCACTATATTGTGGTGATGGGGGAAAATTACTTGCCACCCCTTCTCTTCGGATTTTGTAACCTTGGTTTCTCCTTCTTAAGAAAACCTAAAGGACTGATACTAGGTCTATTTATTTTTAAACTTTAATGTTTCTGAGTATTATTTTCCATACTAGCAAACTCCTACAAAGAGTTCTATTTCTATTTTGATAGGGAAGTCCCATTTTTTTTTCTTTTTGGTGATTTTCTTTGGAAATATTACATATATTCAGAAAAGTACATAGTTATATGTATACAGCTTGAAGAATTTTCACAAACTGAACACACCCACGTAACCAGCACTAACTAAAACAAGAAATGGGTACTCCCAGCACCCCAGAAGCTCCCTTTTTGCCTGCTCTCCTTTACTACTTTCCTCTTTTAGGACAAGCACTATGCCCTCAGGATAATCACTATCCTGACTTCTAACACTATAGATTTGTTTGCCTGTTTTGAACTTTATATAAGTGGACTCATGGCTTATGTTCCTCTACATATATTTTTAAAGACAGTTACAAAACTATATACTGTGTGAGCCATTTATACACAGCTCAAAACTGGGCAAAACGAATCTCTGGGTATCCTAGAAAGTCAGTATGGTGGCCCCTCCTCTTTCACATTTCTTTTTTTATTTTGAGGGAAAATATTATTAGCCGGCCTTTTGAAACATATAGCTAAACTTTATCCTCTTTTGTCTTCTTATTTTTAGGAGTATCTTGATAGTGGCTGGAACTTGAACAACATGCCAGTGATGGAGCAGTCTGTCCTTGCACATATTACGGCTGATATATGTGGCATGAAACTTCCTTGGTTGTATGTGGGAATGTGCTTTTCTTCATTCTGTTGGCATATTGAAGACCACTGGAGCTATTCAATTAACTACTTGCATTGGTGAGAAGTTCCAAAAAAACCCACGAATAGTATGCAAGCTGGATAGGTAAACTTTCCATTTCAGTGCAGATGTGTCATAACTGTGTCTAAAGAGAAATGAGCTACTTTTTTCCTTAAGATTTTTCAATTCTGTTAGAACAGGCATCCTGACAAGTTAAGACAGTGGTTCTTTTTTTTTATTGAGACGGAGTTTCGCTCTTGTTACCCAGGCTGGAGTGCAATGGCGCGATCTCGGCTCACCGCAACCTCCGCCTCCTGGGTTCAGGCAATTTTCCTGCCTCAGCCTCC